CTCTCATATATTCTTGATCGTCTGGAATAGTCCATGCATACACAAACAGCATTCATACTCAGGAGAGACTGAAAGGCATCCAAGATGTACTAAATTCATGGCTAATCTTGAGACATTACTCAAGAAGCCTTACTAGCTTAATCATTGTAGCACAGCTTCTAACTAATCAATCACTGACTGACTGACCACTAAAATATGCTGACCCAAGGACAACCACTAGGAATGCTGGCTTAAAAATAAGAACAAGAATAAAAATAAAATAGTAGGCAGAGACATCAGTGGTGACACACTGGAAAAGGTACTGAACCTACAGAATTGGAGATAAAATCTACAGAATTACTCTAGCCAGGCATTTAACATTTAAAAAAACAAACAAAAAAATTAGCAACAATTACCAGAGATATTTCAGAATCCAGATTTGCTAAGATACTTATATAAAATGTCCACTTTTCAACAAAAGTATGACATACACAATAAAAGAAAATGTTACTCACATATAAAAAATGAAGTTATTAGAAACTATGATGTGGGCCTTATTAAACTTAGCAAACAAAACTTCAAAGCAGTTATTATAATCAGGGACATAAAGAAAATCATGTTTAAAGGAGTAAAGGAAAGATAATATTAACTCACAAAAAAGATAATATAAATAAAGAATAAAATTTATACATAATAATGTACAACATGGTGATTATAGCTAATAATATATTATTATATACTTGAATGTTGCTGAGAGTAATTTTAAACTTTCTTGCCACATACATAAAAATTGGAAATTATGTGAGTGATGGTGATAGTAGTTAATACCACAGGGGTAATCATTTTGCAATATATAAATGCATCAAGTCAACACATAGACCTTAATCTTACATGGTTATGTATCAATTATATATCAATAAAGCTGAATAAAGTTGAAAAAATATAAAATTATAAAAAAGAACTAAATGGACACTCAAGCCCTGGCCGGTTTGGCTCAGTGGTTAGAGCGTCCGTCTGCGGTCCGGAGAGACCTGGGTTCGTTTCCCGCTAAGGGCATGTACCTCGGTTGCAGTTTGTCCCCGGCCCTGGTTGGTCATGTGGGTGGCAGCCACTCGATGTGTCCCTTTCACATCGATGTTTCCCTCTCTCTCTCTTCCTCTCCCCCCCCCACTCTATCTGTACAAAAATAAATAAATAAATAAATGGACACTCAAGTTGAAAAACACAATAGTTAAAATAAAAAATTAATTACATGGGTTGTTCACCAACAGAAAAAGTAATAAGTGAACATCATGATTTATCAGTAGAAATTACCCAACATAAAAAAATAAAAATAAAAAAACAACAAAAATAAAGTGAACAGAATCATGGAATTATAGACACCTGTTGGACACCATTATATAAACCAGAATTTATATAATGGGAATCTTAGAAGGTAGCAGAGATTGAAAAAGGAAAAAAAATATATGAACATATAAAATAAAACAAAAACCTTGAATAAATTGTGGCCAAAAACTCCCCAAATTTAATGAAAATCATTATTCTACACATTATATAGACTCAATAAAACAAGTAAGATAAAATCAGACAGTCCACAGACATATCATAGTTAACTAACTGGACATCAACCATATTAAAATAATTTTTTTTTTTTTGCATTTATTTTCAGATAGAGCGGGAGGGAGAGAGGGAGAAAGAAAGAGAGAGAGAGAGAGAGAGAAAGAGAGAAGGAAAAGAAAGAAAGAAGAAAGAAAGAAAGAAAGAAAGAAAGAAAGAAAGAAGGAAGGAAGGAAGGAAGGAAGGAAGGAAGGAAGGAAGGAAGGAAGGAAGGAAGGAAGGAAGAAAGAAAGAAAGAAAGAAAGAAAGAAAGAAAGAAAGAAAGAAAGAAAGAAAGAAAGAAAGAAAGAAAGAAAGAAAGAAAGAAAGAAGTGAGAGAGAGACATCGAGTGGTTGCCACCCACACAACCCCAACCTGGGCAGCGACAAACTGCAACTAAGGCACATGCCCTAAGAGGGAACTGAACCTGGGACTCTTCGATTCGTGGGCCAACACTCCAACCACTGAGCCAAACTGACCAGGACAAAATAAATCTTTACAATGAGAAGAGAAAAATGATGAACCACATACAGGAGAGGCACAACAAGGTAAAGAGATGACTTCTCATCAGAATTGATGTAGAATTAAAGTGCCAAAAGAATTACTATCAATCAAGAATTCTATATACAGCAAAAATATTTTTCAAAAATAAAGGCAACAGAAAGGCATTCACAAATGTAGAAAAACAAAAGAGAGAAATACACCATTGACAACAGAGCTGCATTACTAGAAATAATAATAAAACATCTTTTGAGGTTGCAAAGAGATGACACAAGACAGTAACTCATATGTTCACAAAGACAGAAAAAGGCACTGGTAATGGCAATTGGAAAGGTAAGTATAATACACAATAGCTTTCCTCCTCTTAATAAAAAACACTTGCAAAAAACAATTTAAATTTTAACATGTATTGTGGAGACTTCTGGTTCAGACAAGATGGTCTAGACTGCTCTCTCCCTGTTTCTCCCAGCTGAGCAAAGCCATGAAAAACTATAAACTCTGAAATAATATAACAAAAATCTGTAAGGAGTCTCTAAAGAGTGGAAATCAAAGGTACCTGCTAGAGGTATGGTAGGAATGGAGGAATAACATAGCTGCTCAGCAACTCCCAACACCACATCAACTGGCAACACATAGCCTAGGGAGGGATGGAATGAGAACCCCACTCCATCTGGTGCCTAGAGTAGTAATCTCTGCCTTACAGCATGGTTTTCATGACCCAACTTGAAACAACAGGTAGGCTGGACCAAGGAAGAGCTATTGCCTCTACTGGAAGAATTAGTGTAGTTCTGAAAACACAAACAGCTCCACTCTCTGGTGCCTGATGTCTCCTACTCCTGCCTAGAAACTCTATGCAGAATAACCCTGGGAAAGAATTTCCACTCCCACAAACAGCATTGGGAATATGTAAAATGGAATATCACTGTCACCGAGTAAGCCAGGAAAACACTATCTACCTGTACAGGCCTAGCATCTACAACCCACTCTTCAGAGGCAACAGGAGGGCAAGGAAAGCTCCACTCCTGCAGGCAGCACAGGCAGGTCGCAGTGGGGCCTACAGAAGCACCAAATCAGTCCAGACCAAAATAACATCATGAAGACTCTGAAACCCTTCATCGTTTACGACAACCACATAACTTTCTCAATACTGATCCAGAGCTTTATAACATACTAGTCAAAATGTCCAGAAAACAATTAAAAATCACTAGCCATACCAAGAGCCAGGAAAACCACAACCTGAGTGAGAAAAAGCAACCAATACTTGTCAACACCATGAAAATAATCTGTTAGAATTAGCTGACAAGGCTAATTTAAAGTAGCTTTCATAACAGTATGACAACAAGAAACTAAAAATATCTTTCAGGGTGGGAGTTGGGGGTGGCATCAGCAAAATGGCAGGTTGGAAAACTCCAAGCCCTAGTTCCTCAGTAGAAATGTCAAAAGACAATCATAAACTGGCTGAAATAAACTCATAGGAGCTCTGGAAAACAGTCAAGGGTCTACAGCAACCAAGCAAGAGAAAGTCAACTTGAAAATGGCAGGAAATTTGTGGTGCTGTTACTTTCCTTTGCTCTACTCCATCTCCAGCATTTCATAGTTTAAGCTGGAGGAGACTGCAGCCCAGTTTCCAGTGTCCTCCCTCAAATAAAGGGTTTCAGAGAAGACCTTATTTGAAATGTTCTACCCTGTCTAACAGCTGCCTAAAAGGTTGGTTTCTGTCTTACCTCCCTCAGATTTCAGGCAGCAAAAAGGAGTAACCACTGCTTGTAAAAGTGTCAGATGCCTGAGACAAGAGATTATAGGTGATAATATACAACAGGCCATCTAAGGTCCTGAGGAGAAACTGAGGTGAGACTCTTTGGAAAATTGAGATATTTAAAAGCAGCCCTGTATATGATAAAATTAAGAAAGCTCCTCAAGACATATGCTCAGAAAAGACCTAGAATATCCTAAACTTTCACCTCAGCTGACCTGTAAATTGAGAGCAAGCCCGACTAATCACTGGAGGACTGCCCTGGAGCAGGATCAATCTGCAAAACTGCAAGAGGTGTTTATTTTTTTCAGATGTCCAAATTTCAACAAAAAATCACAAGGTTGCTTAGTCAGTCTGAGGTGTTATAACAAAAATGTTATAGATGAAATGCTTAAACAACAAATATTTATCTCTCTCAGTTCTGGAAGCTGTAAAGTCTAAGACAGAGACTCCAGCAGATTTGGTGTCTGAAACAGCCTCTTCTTGGTTCATAAACGGCCATCTTGTCATCTTAGCAGAAGTTCTGGAGTCTTTTTTATAAGGTCCCTAATCTCCTTGATAAGGGCTCCATCTCAAAGACTCAACTCACTCTCTAAGGCCACACCCTCCAAATACCATCACATTATATTAGGTTTCGATATGAATTTCAGAGAAATACAAACATTCTGTTTATATCATGAGGCAAACAAATAAACAAAAAAGCATGGCCCAGAGGAACGAAGTAAATTGGGAGAAACCATCCTTGAGGACTCTATCTGAGTCTTTAAAACAACTGTCTAAAGTATACTCAAAGAGCTAAAGAAAACAAAGACTAAGGAAAATCAGAAAAATTACTTATAAACAAAATGTCAACAAAAATATAGAAATTATAAAAATAAATCAAATAAATTCTGGAGCTATAAAATACAATAATTGAGTTGAAAATTTATTAGAAAGCTTCAACAACAGATTTGAAGAGGCAGGACAATGAGTCAACAAACTTTAGGAGAAGACAAATGAAATCATAGATTCTAAGGACAAGAAAGAAAAAAAGAGGGACTTGTGAAATACCATTAAGTAGAAACAATATATGAATTATGGGAGTCCCAGAAAAAGAAGAGAGATTATTTGAAGACATAAATAATTACTAATATTAATTGACATAAGGCAAATAAATCAGAATATACTTACCAAATTTTTTTCAACTACAATATGCAATTCTATATATTTAGATACACCTTTAAGTACCTGAAAAATGTCCACATGAAAATTAGAGTTACTTAAATATTTTAGTGTTTATCACTACTTCATTAATTCAATATTGAAAAATCGAATTTTATATATAAAAATGACCAGATAAGATAAGCAAAACTAGGTATCAAAGAATCTTTTCCAAGATATTTTTTTTGTCATCTTTTTTTTTTTTATCCTCACTCTAGGACATTTTTTCAATATTTTGTTCAGATAGAGTGGGAGGGAGAGAGAGGAAGAGCGAGAGAGAGAAACAGACGTGAAAGGGACACATCAAGTGGTTGCCACCCACATGACTCAACCAGGGCCAGGGACAAACTGCAACTGAAGTACATGCCCTTAGTGGAACCGAACCCAGGTCTCTTCAGACTGCAGGCCGACACTCTAACTGCTGAGCCAAACCGGCCAGGGCTCTTTGTCATCTCTTAAATAGGTGATCAACCATTTAATTTACTCAGAAAGTAACTTTTCTTAACCTTCCATTCTCTGTATTCTCATTGGTTTTTAGCTATTTATATTATTTGATTTTCTGCATAAAACAACAACAACAACAAAAAATACCTTCCAGTGACTCCCATTACCAAAGGTGTGAATTTTTATTAGCTTAATGATGCCATCATACATTACTATGTGGCATGGTTTTATCTATGACCCTGAAAGTATAAGGACCCATCTCTGTGTTTATTTCATCTGAAGGACAGTTAACCATTGTATAAATCACCCCCAAAAATGGTGAGCAACAGAGAATGAAAGTGGCTAACTTTCTTAAATTCACCATAGATATCTCAAAATGTAGATTCTGGGTATGATGTCATCCATCCAGATCATAGTGATTAAATCAGGCAAAAATGTGAGGCCTCATGAGAGTTGTACTCTGGCTTATCATTAATGTGAATTAGACTTGCCAAAAAATGGGGATAGGGAAAAAACTATTTTCGTAATTAGGTTTACATGAAGATAATCTAGGAGGAAGGCACTAGGGAAAACTTGTAACAGACTTTACAAGTTTTATAAGAAACTATAGTTTAGATAACTCAAAGTATCTTGTTACTACAATAGCATACCATCTACAAACACTAGACGAATAGCTAGAAGCAGAAAAAGAGGACGCAATTTCAGAAATTGAAGAAACTTTTATTATATTTATTTTAATGTCTGAAGTTTTTCTTTTTCACATTGAAGTTTTAAACTATCCCGTTTTAGTAAAACCACTTTACTCAACATATTAAGCAAAGCATTTTAGTTATATGCTCTATTTTAGATAAACAATTTTCCTTAACATAATTAACTGAGCATTAAAGAACAAGAAATATGGAATTTAGTAGCAATTAGAAAAGTGATGGTTTAAAGGAGTAATTTAAAGGAAAAAAAAAAAAAAAAAACGTTGAGAAAGATCAGTAAGACAAATTTAAGGCTGATTGATCACTCAGTTTTCTCCACTTTAAACTTCTATTTCTTGGCCCAAGTCTTGGATGTTTCAGGGTTTTGTTTTTAAAAATTCAGATGAAATTCCCTTATGGTCTGGTTTTTTTTTTTTTCTTTTTTTTTATCATTTCCATTCAAAATTAAGCACCAAATATTTCATTATAGTTTGTTTATAGGACTCCATCCTTTTATCAAAGTCCCTAAGCAAGGAAATAACACTATTTTTGTATTGCATAAACATAAATGTTATAGGCAGTTAGACATAAACAGAGCAAAAACGATGGGCCAGGTACAGAAACTCACCATGGCCAAAAGCCCCAGATGCCTAGCAAGCAGCAAAACTGGGAAAATAAGAACCTTGACCCCAGGGTAACCTATCCTCCCCTAGCATATCTCTGGTCATGTGGTTTGGACCCCCTGACTTTTCATATTGCTAGTCATATAGTTTGGTTTAGACCCCTTCACCTTTTCTTTCCTAAGGGTCACTTTGGGCCTCACTTGTATTTTAGCTCCAGGCCCAGAAGAGTAACAAAATCAGACAAGTGATGCCATGGCTGCCTCAGGACCAGTTGCATTGAATAATGACCTCCTGTCCTGTCATTGACCAATCACTGGACATCTGGAAAGCTAATAAATATTCTGTTAAGAACCTCCCATAAGACCCTCCCCTAAGATTCCCACCTGCAAGAGAGAGAGAGAGAAATATGCTCAGGATGAAGGACCCAGCGTGTACTCTCACCCAGGGAAATATGCCAGTGCCATTCCCTTCCCCTCTTTCTTCCTTTTAAGGGACCCAGGAGACTTGCAATAAGGGGAGCAATGAGCAGTGGCAGCTCAACCTGAGCTAACCCCCTGAAACTGTCCCCAAGGGCTCCTTTCCTCTGACTTCCCAGTGAACCAAAGTAGCCCAACCTAGGCTCTCCTGTTGCTTCTTCTATGCCCTTCCTCATTTCACTGTCCTAAGTGTGTTTTTGCTGCAGCCAATAAATTCTTTCTTACTTTGCTTCATTTTGTTTCTTGATTGAAATCTTTCCTTCAAGAAGACAAGAACCAAGGTCTCTTCATCTTGCCACTGACATAAACACTTAATCAAAATAAACAATGAACTAATGGATTGAAGGATTCTAAGCATTTTTTTGTTTCAACCAACATTTGTTAGTTGTTTAACATTCCCTGAAGTAATCCTTGTTCATTTTCTCTTCGAGATTGGTTGATAATATTTAATTAATATTTTATTAATTAATTTAGTGAATAATAATTTTTATGGGGTAAAGATACAGAGTGTTTTTTAGCCAAATAAATTTAAGACAAGGATACATAACAGAATGCCGGAAATGTGTCTGTTGAAAGGTGAGCAGGTGTTATATTTTAAACGACCTCAAAAGTCATTTTATGTAGTAAGAGAATGTGGCCATACAAGGAGACAAGTTGCTGAGATATGTATTATATAAAGATAACTTTAATCAAAGTAAAGTTTGTTTTGATCAATTAAACATCAAATAATTGGATTAAGGAAAGTTGAGAGAATGCTATTGAATGATAAAATTACAATGTAGATTATAGTTAAATTTAAAAGATGTCAAAGTCATCAGTAAGAATATTCAGGGAGTGAAAAGAGGCATGATGATAAATAGATGGATGGATAGATAGATAGATAGATAGATAGATAGAGAGATAGATAGATAATACATAATTAGGTAGATAGATAATGTGTTCCTGTATTTTGTTTAACTTGAGCAACCATTATGTTTAATATGGATCATTGACTTAGGAAAAAATTGAAATGAGAGTAGGAGATATGTAAATCACTGTAGACAATGGCATGGAAACATACAATAGGCAACTCAAAATAAACCTGAGGCATAACATAGAAAATACCAATATTTAGAATGTAAGTGAGTAAGAAAATGTCAGAAAGAGTGAGAGAGAATGAGAAGAAAGAGTTTTGCAGGAGAGTAAAGTGAGTTGAAAACTCTAGAAAGTTTCAGTTTTATTTCAGCATTAACATTATACTTAATGGTGATGGAGTGAATCTTTTTCTCCTAAGGTTGGGGCAAGACAGGGATATCTCATCTCGCCTTTATAACATTATACTGAAGATGCTCAGCAGGACAATTAGGCAATAAAAAAATGGAAGTTATTATAATTAAAAAGGGAGAACATAAACTATCTTCATTCAAGATGACATGACCTCGTACATAGAAAATCAGAGTCCAATAAAAAACACACTAATAAACAATTTCAACAATTTTGCAAAATCTGAAATCAATACACAAAAATCAATAATTTCCTAACACTGATAATGAGACATGCAAACTTGAAAAAAATTTAAATGGGCAATAACATTCAAATAATAAAACTTACAGAAATAAATTTAACAAAATGAGTTGACAACTTGAAGACTAAACTATGCAAAACAGTGCATAAAAGTATCAAAGAAAATCTAAAAACAAAAAGCTATTCCATGTTCATAGATAGAAAGAGTTAATATTGTTGAATGGCAATATTCCCCAGGTGAATCTACAGAATCCACACAATCCCAGATGGCATTTTAAGAAACTGAAATAAAATTTAAAATTCATTTCGAAATTCATAGTAACAAAAATAGCCAGAACAATATCATAAAAGAAGAATGCACACTTACTAATTCCAAAAATTTCTTCAAAGTTATAGTAATAAAAAAAATAAAGTGTGTTTCTGGCTTAAGAATAACTATAAAGATCAATGGGGTGTAATTGCAATCGTGGAAATAGTCCCTAACATTTATGGTCAACTAATCTTAGGGAGAAAAAAAGCCATAAAAATTCAATGGGGAAAAAAAAAGTCTTTTTAACAAATGATGTTGGAAAAATTAGATATCCATATAAAGAATGATGACTTGAGATTCTTAAATCACTCCATACAAAAATTAAATTGAATCATATTTCAAAACTTAAGAGACTAGCCCGGCCAGTGTGGCTCAGTTGGTTGAGCAAGGTCCCATGGACCAAGAGGTCATTGGTTTGATTTCTGGTCAGGGCATATGGGCAGGTTGCAAGCTTGATCCACAGTGGGGGGGTGTGCAGGAAGCAGCCTCATCAATGTTTCCATCTCTCTCCCTTCCTCTTTCTCTAAAATCAATAAAAACATATTTTTTAAATATGTAAAAGACAAAGCAATAAAACTTATGAAAGAAATATAGAAATAAATTTTGTAGTCCTGATGAAATGGTTAATTTTATTTGTCAACTTGACTGTGCCCTACCCAGATATACATTAATATGTACACACAGGCATACATATATGCACACATACATATGTATACATATATCCTGTTGGTTCTGTTTTTTTGGCAAAATATCTGCCCTGAAATAACCCTTACCTACTGTAACAGCAGATCAGAGAGGGTCGAAAACCAAAAGCTAAATCTCATTTCATGAGCACATTAATTGCAACATATTTTAAATTTCCAAGATCGCAGGGTGTCTACTGTTAAAGTGAGGGTATTAATTTGAAAAAAAATAAGACTCTGAAAGTTGGAATGGGAACATATGGGGAGACTCTGATGAATCTGTGGTCACAGAACCCCTAAATTCTGGAGTCTTCTTTGCCAGTAGAAGCAGCTTCTCCATCCATGCACAATCAAATTGACATAGCATCTTGAGGGAAATATAATGGCTCCCCTGAGGCCGCTGCCTTAGAAGAAGACCCTAGTGATTCTCCATAGGAAATATCTTCAATATTTATGTGAATGGCATTTGTATTTATTGTATCAAAATTTTGACACATTGGAAATGGAGAAGGGTGTGTGTGCATCTGCAGACAATAAAAGTCTAGATTACGGGGGTGGGGGGTGGGGGTGCCACTAACAGTGAAAAATGCCAGCTTATAGTTCTGGAAATTTGAATGACAAGTTTTAAGTCTTACGATATAAGTCACAAAGTTTTTATTACATCTAGCACATCCATGTATCTATCAATCATATTTATTAATGTAAATAACATTTTTATCAGAAAAAAATACATTGCTTATATTGATGGTTAGTACTCACCATATAGTTACTTAATCACCTACCTGAACACTTTGAATTGTATAGGGTATGTCTCTTGACTCCATATCCTCCTCAGCATATAAAGAAACACCTGTATTCTCATGCTTTACTTGATAAATCACATGTTCAAAACCAATAGAAGGCTCCAAGGGCTCAATTGCATAAGTTACATTTTCAAACTGTAGTAAGCCCCTATGAATTTCAAAATAGATTTTTTCAAATGTACATAAAAAAGCCATTTAGTCAAGTTATTACTTAATGGTATGTGAATCATTTTCACTCTTAATCTCAAATGGTAACCTGGAAAAAAATTTCTAAGTATCCACCAACTTACTAAGTGGCAATGGATTTTAATGCTGTTGGCATTTGCTTAGTTATTGATATTTCATTTTCTCAAAATATATATAAAAAAAAGTTCATTCAGAATAAGAGTAGGAGGCATTACAAGATTTTCCATATTCTGCCCGGCCACTATGGCTCAGTGGTTGAGCGTCAAACCATGCACCGAGAGTTTGCCAGTTCAATTCCCAGTCAGGGCACATGCCCAGGTTGTGAGCCAAATCCCCAGTGGGGGGCATGTAGGAGGTGGCCAGTTGATATTCTCTCTCATCAATGTCTCTCTCTCTCTCTTTCTCTTTTCCTCTCTGTCTAAAATCAATAAAGAAAAAAAATATATTGTTAAAAAAAAAAAGAATTTCTATATTCTGCTTTCCCGAAGATAGTTTTCCACAATAAAGCATGTCTCATGTTAGAACCCCTGAATATAATTTTTTGAATTTAAAATTTATTTCTAAACTAATATTCCATTTTGTAGTGATAAAATTATATATCACAACCTGAGTCCAGTACATGTGCTAAGGATTGCCACAGAATTTGGATAATCTTCAATGTATCCTTGGTAGTAGCAAAAATTCTGAAAAATAAAATACATACAGCTCTATTAGAATAATTCATGATGAAGGCACTATTTTCAAAATACTTAAAACAAATGTTAATTGTGCATATGTGTCAAATACTCATTATTTCTAAAATAGATTTAAAGGATTATTAGATGAACATTTGGCTCAATTAAGCAAACATTTTCCCACAGGTTCAAAAAGAATTAGTATATTTTTTCCTATTATAAATTAAATATGACATTCTTGGTGATTAAGATCAAGGTAAAAATCATCCAAAACTTATTTTTTCATACTCTATGGACTTGATTTTACAAACAATAAACCAACATTAATCCAAAAGAGAAATTTTTCTTTTCAAAATTATTTGAGTATAATATCAGAGTAGCTTGCAATGGATTAACTCTTTCACCAATTAAAAATATAAACTCTGGAAAAATAATTTTAAAATCCAACTACAAAAGCAGGCAGGAAAAAGTGAGAACAGGGAGTCAGTATTCCAAAAAACAAACAAAGAAACATGTTGTTTACTGAGCTTTGTTTATATTAGTTTTTACCTGAGGGCACTCCCCAAGGTAGGGCAACAGAAGGTAGCTAAAGTTCCAACAAAGAGCCCAGTCTCACTGACCAGTGTTTCAGGTTCTCAGAAATTGAGATGCCATGTCCAGGGAAGGAAGGAGGCATAGAGTGAGGCCCAAACTCTATGGTATTAACTCAGGTGCAAGTTTTAAGACTCACACAGGCAATATAATTCCTAATAGCCATTTTGCAAGCCTCCCTGTCCTAGGAGAACTGGCTGGACAAGAAATGCAACTGGACACGAGGAACCAAAGCAGCACCCAGTTGCACATCCGCATTCCTGTAGATCCAACCTCCTGCCCAAACCCACCAACCAAGAACCCAAAACCTACTGATTGATGAAACTTCCTGCCAGTGGATGCATAGAGGGATGAAATTCCAGCTCTTAGAGGCTGCCATTATTGACCCAATACCCCATGGCTCAGTGATGTGTAGCCCTTCCCTTTGGATATTCCAATCCCCCATCCCTTTTTCTTTCATAAAACCAATTTTTCTATATTCACCATCTGAGACAGCTATTTAGCTTGCCCGCTCACCTCTGACCATTGGCTTTCACCTTTCAGTAAGTTCTTTACTTACATCTGCTCTAAGAATACATGAAAAAAATCTCAAGTAGCTTAGCAGAAACTAAGATCAGAAAAGCTGGTAGTGGAGACATGTTGGCTGTTTCTGAACACACGAGGGTAGATAGAGTTTTGAAAGTGGCTCCAACAAAGTTTATTTTCCGGTGGAATAAAAATGAAGACTCTTTGGAGAAAAGAGTCACAAACTCTAAAATGAGTTACTGAGTATGTCCAGTATGACTTTAAAATATCAGATGTGCGAATGTGGCTCACAATCAAGATAAAAATCAGAAAAAGAATTGACCCTGAAATAACCCAAGATTTTTGAATTAGTTAAAAAACAGATTTTAAAAAATAAGGCTTTAAAGCAGATATTAAAAGTGTTATCTAGAACAAAAGGAAAATTTAAGCATAATAGAAAAACAATTAGGAAATCCAGAGAAATAAAGGTTATAAATATACCAACTCTAAATTCTAGAGCAAAAACATACTTAAACTATGATACAGTGTATAGGTTTTATGGCACATTGGGAGAAGGCAACAAAAAATAATAATAAGTAAAAAGAATAAAGTATAGGCTTACAGAAATTATCAAATATTAAAGAAAGCTGAGCAGAAAGAACCTTTAAAAATTGAAAATAGCTGCAGCAACCTGTGGGACAATGTTATCTAACATGTTTAATTGAACTCCCATAAGAATGGAAAGAGAAAATAGGTATATTGTAGGTGGCAGTGATGGCCCCAGGTGTTAAACCCATTGAGTCAGACTGCATCTGGGTTTAGCAACCTTGGTACTTGAGTTCTGGCTAGAAACACTCCAACTATAAGAGAACATTTATTTGGAAAATCAGAGAGGTAGAAGTAATTCATAGAAGGAATGGGCTTAGGAAATAAGTTATAGTGGAAGGAAGGGCCCTTGGACTTGGGAGAAAGGCAGGCGAAGGCGAAGTGCCTGCGGGGAGGAGGAGCGGGAAGGGAAAGGCACAGGCATGCTCCCCTGCTCCTGGAAGGGAGAGCACCATGGGTCCTCTGTCCTAAGGGTGTATAGGGGAAGTCCCAGGGGAAGATTGAATAGAATATTTGGCAGCTTTTCAGGTGTTTTCTTTCAGGGTCAGGTGTCCACTGATTGACTGGTTGGGCAACAGAGCGGGGGGGGGGGGGGGGGGGAGTGGTCATTATCTAATGCAGCTGGTCCTAAGGTCAGCCATGGGGTCACTGGTCTGGTTTTGCTGCTTTTCTGGGCCTGGATCTGAAATATGACAGAGGCCTTGATATTATCTTTAGCGGGGGAAGGTCTGGGATCCAAACTGCAAGACCAGTGATATGCAAGGAGAGGAAAGGTCACTCTGGGGGTGAGGTCCCACCCTACAACTGTCCTTTGATCGGCACGCAAGGCTTTCTGCCCTCATGTCTGTCTGTCTGTCTACCACAGATACAACAATGTTTATTTAAAAATAATGTCCAAAATTTCCCCAAATGTATTGAGATGGCCCAATTTATAGAGTGAGACACTGAAAATACAAATAGACAATGACTAGATCATATATAAAAATAGAACTGTGACCCACAACCTGCTGCAACCTACTCAGAAAATCAATACCCTCATGGACAACAACTAACCCAAGAAGTCAACCTGCTATAGCCAGTCTTTGTAAGAAACTATTTTGCTCTCTCTAGTAATAATATAGGAAGATGAACAATAACTTATGTAAAGTAACAAAGACTTAATTTAAAATTTTTAGTTTGCCTAAATTTTGTCTCTGCTTTCAACCTAAGGCTAAGCTAAGGAAGTCAAACATGCATCCCTAAACAATTACATAGGAGGCTTTGCTTCTAGTTAGCCCACCTACAGCTTCCCCAGGTCACCTACCTCCAATCAGGGCATACTGAAATTTTCTTTTTTTCCTACTCTATGAAACTTTCTCACCCCTCTGACTGTTTTAGAATATTGAAACTAAGGGTCTTTATAACTTGGATTAAATTTAATTTTAAGCCCGGCCTGTGTTGCTCAGTGATTGAGCATCGACCCATGCACTAGAAGGTCGTCAGTTTGTTTTCTGGTCAGGGCATATGCCCAGTTTGTGGGCCAAGTTTCCAGTGAGGGGTATGCAGGAGGCAGCCAATCGATATTCTCTCTCATCGATGTTTCTATCTCTCTCTCCCTCTCTCTTTCTCTCTCTCTCAAATCAATAAAGAAAAAAATTTTTTAATTTAATTTTAAATTCTCACTTTAGAGATTCTCTCTTTCTCTTTCTCTCTCTCTGTATCTCTGTCTATGTGCTTGTGTGTGTGTATGTATATATATTCCTGAGACATAGTATTTCCCTCAGATAATAAGCAGCCCCCAAGGCAGCAGAAATATAACATCTAAGTTATGACTTGGGTTTTTAGAAGCATAAACTCCCTATCTTTAAATGAGCTAATTCAACATTAAGCTATGTTTTCTTTCTGTAGTACAAACTCCTACTTGGTACTTCTTTGGACCAGTACACACAGGCCGGCAGACTCAAGGAAAAATCTTAGGGTTCCAGTAGCAGCATCTGCCCACACGAAAGTGACAGTGGCTGACTCCCAGGTTATGGCAACCTCTGAATAAACAGTTTTTGCTTATTTTCATTTGGTTGGCTTGCATTCATTTCAATAAAATATAAGGAATTCAACACATCTTAATTAACTGATGCAAACTGAAATTAAAGGGAAAATCTTGAAATAAACAAAAAAAATGTAGCACATGACATTCAGAGAAATAATAATACAAACAATATTTCTCACTATTTATATCTACAGATAGATATAGAAATAGATGTATAGATATAGTTATAGGTTTATATATAGATATAGAGCCAGGATACAATGGAATAGAATAAAATGCTGAGAGAGGAAAGAAATCTTTGGTACCCATAATTATGTATTTAAAAAAAGTATTATTTAAAAGTGAAGATGTGGCCCATGAGGTGTGGCTCAATGGATTGAGTGTCGTCCCATGGACTGAGAGGTCCTGGTTCGATTCCAGCTCAGGGCACATGCCCAGGTTGCAGGCTTGATTACCAGTAGGGAGTGTGCAGGAGGCAGCCAATCAATGTTTCTCTCTCACATGGATGTTTCTCTCTCTCTCTAAAAAAAATACAATCAATGAAAACATTTTTTTTTAATTGAATAAGTAAAAAGAGTACACTCTAAAATAAGAATAAAGAGTATAGGAAGTACATAAACCACTAACATAGTAATAATGTATTACCATTATCAAGTGTTAGGTACTGTACATAATTGTACTGCTCTACTTTTATATGCCTGGCAGTGCAGTAGGTTTGTTTACCACCATCACCACACACAAGGGAGCAATGCGTTGCACTACAACATTACAATGGCTACATGTTAGAGATTTTTTAACTTCATTATATTCTAATGGGAACACCGTAAGTGGTCCGTTGTTGACTGAAATGTTCTTATGTAACACATGACATTTGAGGCCAATATTTAACAACTTACTACATTCAGATTATTAATAAAGCATTCTTTGCTTTTTCTTTTTAATTATACATTTATCTTTCATGGTTACCTCCTAGAGGTAGGAAGTAGATTTAGATATTAGATATATCAAAATAATATAAACTTCAAGCATTGGATATTGTGCTTGTGTCTCTCTGATTCTAACACTCTCTTATACACACACACACATAAATGTCACATACACATGCATATACATGTATATTTTTATGTGTAAAAAAGTATATATTTTAACACTATTTGACTGTGTATTATTTATATATCTGTATAGACTACTCCATAGATAACTGAGATATATTTGCACAGTCTGTTCAGCAAAATTTAAAATAATTATTCACTATCTCTAGTATTTCTTCTGTTAAAAGCTTAGTCTCTATAAAAATGCTTTAATTTCAAAGCACTACACATAGAAACAAGTAACGCGAAAGAAAAAAGCAACAGAAACTGGAAGGGCAGGACAAAAGTAAAAAGAAAAATGGTATCTCAGGCATGGGTAATTCATGCAATTTTATTATTCTTCCAATAAATTATAGATGTTATAAAGACACATTATCAAAAAGAAATGATTAAATTCATGCCCAAACAATATATAACTTCAACTCTTTGTACTCCAGCAACAAGTGGACCCTAAGTAAGGTGATCATAGAAACTCACATAACAAAGGTGAAATAGACCCTAAAAATCATACCTCAATCTGTTGTTCAAAAGGTTTCATATATCCCGTGCCATTATAACCATAAACTTGAAAACCAGAAGATAAAAAAGCTCTGCAAAATAGATAAAGAGTATTTAATGGAAAATTTGTTTCCTAAGCTTTTATTTTTAAAATATATTTATTTTGTTTTATTTATTATTAATAGATAGGTAAGCAGAAAAGGGGAAGGGGAGGAGACAGAGAACGATTCTCTGATTTTGTTCTCATTTTACTCAAAGACCTAGTTTTCAGTCCTCCCCTCACACACTTTATTGTCACACAATCCTTCTAGCTGTTTTTATTTGTTTTTTAATGCAACAGGCAAGTTTTTGCCTCAGAGTATTTGTGCAAGTTGTCTCTTCCTGAGATGTTTTTCAGCATGGCTCATTGTCTCATTTACTTCAAGTTTTTCTTTACATGTCAACTTCTCAGTGAGGTTTGTCTTGATAATTTTATTTTTAAAAATGCAACTTACCCAGTTATCAAGGATTAGATTTCCAAAAGATACTTTTTACTTTGCTCTATATTTTTGCTTAAACATTTTAACACTCTTCTTATTCTCCTTATTATGTCATTATTAGTCATCTGCTAACAATATAAACTCAGAGATTCACGTCTATTCAGTTTACTAATGCATCTCAAGCACTTAAAAGAGTATTTATCAGGAGAGTAGCAAATTGTCAGTAAATGCTGAACTAAGATTCTATAAATTCAACAAATTAGATCAACAGTTTGTGTCAGAATAGCAAAAAGCTAGGAAAATTCCTGAGCAAGTAGAATAGAGAAACTGAGGAGAAAAAAATTAAACAAGGCCAGTTTGGGCACATTACAGCCAGCCTGTGAATCACAGGACTTTATCTTCCCCAACCAAGGACACTTAGTTAATACCTCTCCTCCCTAAACAAAGATCACATAGCTTAAATCACCATGGACTAGCTGAGGCAGGAGGGAGGGGAAAAGGGAGAGAGTTTTATCTCACCCACTAAACAAAGAAGTCAGCAGTCTTGGGACTTGACAAGATAAAATCTGCAGATGTTCTTAGAAAAGCCACAACAAAGTAAAAGTGGGACCTTGAAATCTAGTCTGTTGCCCAAGATATTCATCAGGGAAGCTTTGAAACCTATAGGAATAAGGGTATAAAACCTCTTTAGCCCTACCTGGTAGTACACTCAGATTAGCTAGGTGTCCACTTGTGCTGTATGCCAAGTGTATTTTTAATAAATTGGCTTGCTACATTGCTGTTGTCTGTCGCTCGTATTTGATTATTTTCTCACGAGCATGGCAAGGACCAAGGAGGGAACAGCCCTCTCCCTCCAACTCAGGGGGCTGTCCAATAACATCTTTTCTGACGCTGATAGCAATCTCACATTAAAATATCTTATGTGTAAATATGAAAATATTATGCTTAAAAGGCTGTATAAAGAGAAAGGTAGTTATAGATATTCCATCTCATTTTCCCAAGCAAGTATAAAAATATAAAGATTGTGACTGCCATGACAGTCTGGATTTATTAAAACAACAGATTCAAGAACCAAGCCACTGACAAGTAGAGCAAAAATTTTTGCTTCTTGTCATAACTAAAAGAAAATGGCCCAAAGTGAGGTGGGGCTCCAGGGAACACATCAATTCTGAGTTTGAAGCCCTATAAAGAAATTTAGCTAGTGATATACAGGCACTGTTTTTTGTCAGAGAAAAAAAGAATCCAAATGCCTATGTCCCAAGGAGAAACCGACTATTAAGAAGCCTAGAAACAAGCAGAACTTTTGGGGGTCATTCATACCTAGAATAACAATATTAAACATTTGAAATACATCAAATACATAACTTCTTTCCCTGTAAAATAATTTGTCAAATTTTGAAGTCAGACAGAGAGGCCAAGGAACTAAATAAACTTAAAATCTTTGACAATAAGAGCAATTTTTTTTTCAAAATTGACAATATAGTATACACTCTATGTAATTTAAGCATGATAAAAGAAAGAATAATCACACTTAAATATGTTTATTTTATTTTATTTTTAAATCATTTTTCTTTATTGATTTTTAGAGAGAGAGGAAGGGAGAGGGGGGGAGAGAGAGAGAGAGACATCAATGAGAGAACATCAATTGGTGACCTCCTACATGCCCCCACTGGGGATTGGGCCCTCAACCTGGGCATGTGCCCTGACCAGGAATCAAACCAGCGACTTCTTGGTGCATGTGTCAATGCTCAACCACTAAACCACAACAGTCAGGCACATCTGAATATTTTTAAAAGATTAATAAAAACTAAAATAAAACCTTTAAAGTGTCAAGATGGAAAAAAAAGATGTTAATCTTCAAAGAAATAGCAATAAGACCAACAGATATTTTATCGATAGAAATGAAGAAAGCCAGAAGACAATGAATGATAATTTAAAAGGAGTAAAGTCATTTTTTAAAGTAATCCTAAAAGTTACTCCAGCAAAAAAGTTTTTAACAATACAGTTAAATAAAGATCTTTAAATGAATGCAAATAAACATAATTAAAAAGAAGCAGACTTGTAATAGAAATATGAGACTTTCTGGGACATGGAAAGTAACTGCATATAGAAACAGAATTAAAGAAAAAAATACCAGAATGGGTAAACTTATGGTTAAATATAAAGGAATATTCACTTTACCAAAATAATAGTAATATTTTTCTGAGGTTTAAAAGTATGCAGGACTATGATACATAAAAAATAAATGAAAAGGTAGATGAAGAAATTAAAAACTTAAATGATCTAGTAATCTAGGGTAATTGGTAAATGTAAAACTTTACATTAGATTTAATAACTTAAGAATTAATATGTTAATCTAGATACACTACTAAAAGAAAAGTAAAAGGATGTATAACCTAAAACTTAATAGAGGAAATGGTGTAATATAAAATAATAGATTCATTCAAATAAACATAATGAAAGCAAAAGAATATAAAATAACAGGTACAAAAGAAAAAATAATAAAAAAATTTTTTTAAGTATATAGAAAATCACAAGATAAAAAAAAGTAAGGATATCTTACAACTATAGAACAAGACCAGGTATCAAGATCTATTGCAGAGTCATAGTTATTAATACTGTGTGGTGTTTGAATTGATAAATAAGGCTCAAGAATAAACATACAAACCAGCAAAAGAAAAAAAGATGTACAGAAAGAGATCCCCTCATTAAAAGTCATTTGATTTATGACAAGGATTGCATTATAGTGCAGAAAGAAAAAGGTTTTATGTTGTTTTTTTCAATGTGTTGGATCCATTGAATGCTAATATAAAAAATAATAAAATCTTGACTCCTATGCGCACGTAATACACAAGCATCAACTTTGGATGAATTCTAAAGATAAATATGAAAGTTAAAACAATAAAAACCATTAGAACAAAATAGTAGCTTGGATTCATACAGTATATAAACAATAATTTATTTTAAAATATGAAAAAAGTAATAACTACAAAGCAAAAATGTTAATTTGAACTGTATTAAAAGACAGAATTTCAGGTTTGATTACAAAATCTGGATTAAATAAAAAATTAAAAAGAAAAGGTAGTATTTGCTTACAAATACTAAACAAAAGAAAGTTAATATAACTATATATTCATCAAATATATTAAAATTTAAGACAAACTAATTACTAGAAAATAGTCACTACATAATATTAAAATTTTATTCCCTGGAAGGATAAATTATTTAAAATTTCTATTTAACATTTTTATAATTTCAAAATATACAGGCTGAAGCCAAAGCAGATTTACAGTTGTGAATAAGTGAAACACAGAGTTTATTCTTTTATTATTTATTAATTTTTGCACTATTTTCCAGATGACCAACTATAAACCTACATATTTTTTTTAATCCTCACCTGAGGATATTCCTTCAAATATCTTCAGATAGAGTGGAAGGGGGAAGAGAGAGAGAGAAAGATCAATGTGAGAGAGACACATCAATTGGCTGCCTCCCACACAACTCGACCAGGGCCAGGGATAAACTGCAACCAAGGTATGTGCCCTTGGCCAGAATCAAACCCACAACTATTTGGTCCATGGGCCGGTGCTCTAAACTGAGTAAAACTGGCCAGGGCTGTAAACCTACTTTTCCCCCACCCTATATAAATTAAAATTTACAGAATACAAGAAACTAATCAATTTGATAATTATTGTTGAAAGATCTTAATACATATATCCTAATAAATAAATATGATAAATCAGTTTCAATATGGATGATTTTTTTGTTTTTAATTCTCACCAGAGGATATTTTTCCATTGATTTTTAGATAAGAGTGGAAGGGAGGGAGGGAAGGAGGGAGAGAGAGAAACATCAATGTGAGAGAGACATATCCTGCATGTCCCTAACACAGGGCCAGGGATCGAACCTGCAACCCAGGTATGTGCCCTTGACTGGGAATCAAATTTGTGACCCTTTGGTCCATGGGTCGACATGCTAACTGCTGAGCCAAACCAGCCAGGGCAAGAATTTTTTATGATTAAAAAACATTGTTTGAAATAATTGCAGAATATATACCATCTTCTAGTATATACAGAACATTTACAAAAACTGAATATAGATTATATTATAAGGTAAGTCGCAAGAGCTTTAAAAGATTGAAATCAGAAAATACTCTATCTGAACAAAAAACGAAAAAATGTCCTTGGGTGAGGATTAAAAAAAAAAAAATTAAAAACAAAAAAACTTTATTAATTTAAAAAGGGTTATGGTGTGATTTGTCAAAGAAAATAGCAAAGAGGGATGAAATTACTAATATTAGGATGGACGATGGTGAATGAATGACCTTAGAAATAGCAGTCTTTGAAAAATAAAACAATACTATAAACCGTAAATTGAAGGGTTTAATTTAAATATAGGAATACCTAGAAAAATATAATTTATAAAATCAGACTCAAAAAGAAAAACTGCATAATCCTAAAACCTTTAGACAAATCAATAGTAAAAAATTTCTGAATTATGGCACTCCAGGTGAAATTAGTTTCACAGGTGAGTTTTACCAAACACTCAACATTTTAGAGACCAGAAAAGGTAGGGGTACTCTTCAAGTCTAAAATATTTTCTATCTGGCCCTT